TTTTAGTATTTTCTATTCATCCAATATTTAAAAAAAGGGAGCCCACTTGATAAACATTAGTTTGGGAATTACATGTAAAAGCACGGCCCCCGTAAACAGGGCCGTAATATTAGATGTGGCAACACTGTCGAGCTGTCTAATAGTCTGTCTAACAGTTGGCCCAACTATAGATTGATAAGAAAATTAGATTTTAGAGAACAAAAATAAAAGCGCAGCTTAAATTTTAGAAATCCATCGAACAACATTTTTGAATTTCCTAATTCTAGAAAATAATTTATAACGTAATGAAAACTATTGATTAAACAGAATAATAATAAATTTTATAAAACTCAAAACACGAATATGCAATATTAACAAACAAAAATGTGAAAGTTTACCACTGAGTTACATCCCCTTTATTTTTAATGATATCCACAAATCTTCGAGGGATAGTTTTTACAAGTCCTAGTAGACAAAATTCTAATGTAAACGAATCCCATATTTCTTGCAATTTTTCCTTTAATTCATTGACGGACCTGGCAGGATGTTTGTTCAAAGCTTTTTTCATTTCGCGCCACAAGGTCTCTATCAAGTCGGGACTGTTAGAAACCTATTCCAGAAGTGGTATGTCATGGTTTTCAATCCTTTTAAAGTATGACAACTTGCGCCGTCCTGTTGGAAGACAAAATCGTTCGCTGATGTTAAACGATGCTCCATAACCGGTAAAAAAGATTCTTCTAAAATATTCAAATATTTGCCCGACATGTTGCCCCAGATCATGACAGATGCAGGAAATTTGACTTTTCTCTTCAGACAGTCTTGATGGAAAGCTTAATTTTTCATGTCCTACTATATCCAACACACACTTCAAATCTGGACTCATGACTTCATTGCTCTTTTGCAATCTCTATGCTCTTTTGACCTCTCGATGACATGTTGATCTAGAAATGTGTCTTCCAATAACGTCACTCCATAAAACGCTTAACTCCATATAGTTTCCTCGTCGATTTTTCACTATAATTAATCTTTATGACCTTCGATCTGCTTCGGTTATTTTACTTTTTCGTACATTACTAGGTTTTATGACGACCGAACCTGTAGTTTTGTATCTTCTGACTATATTTCTTACACTATAGCATAACATGACAATTGCAACATATTGGATTTTTCAGAATTAAAAAATCTAATAATGATTGAACAAATTTTCTCATCGATAACTTTACCTCGAGCCATTGTACAATCCACAAACGACAAAAAGCTTTACAATACTACATAATACATTTAACATCAACTGATAATATTATTATTTTAATGTAATTTTTCCTCGCTACTTCTGGATTTAACGTAATTATGAAAAAATCAACGTTGATGACATAAGTGAATGCATAGCCAGGGTTTAGTGATTTTTTTTATTGTTGAAAATAAATAAAAAACCATAAGGGTATTGTTTTTTTAAATATTAATAAAAATTTCATATTAATTAATATGGGAACTTATAAAAAAAAATGGTAATATGGTAATCGACTTAAACTGTAAATTCCTTAGGTGGGCTAGCTGATACGGGACGGGGCTTGCATAGAAATACATAATACTGGGTCTATAACGGGAAGAATACAATTTTAAAGAGTTATATTTGATTAAATTAACACAAAATATTTTGTATTTTACTTAGATAATGGGTACAGTCGTTAGTACACAAAATATGCTGATTATAAAAAAGGTAATGAAAAGGTAGGCAATCAAGATTAAACTCATATAAAGGAAATGCCTTGAGGACTTTGAAATTTAGATATATTTCTTTTTTGTGCACTTTTTTGATCACTTTTGTCTTTGGTTTGGCTTTTGTCAGCTTTTATTTTACCTGAATTGATTCAGTATAATTATGCAAACTAAAGTAACATTCAATATTTCACAAATAAATTGTTTAGTAATTTAAATTGGGAGCATCTTTATTTAATAAATTACAAACTTTCTTTTGACTTTTTGTAAATACTAATCTATAAACGACTAAAATATTTTAAAAATAAACATTAAACCTTTGTTTTTATTGATGCACTGTTATTTTGTTAATAAACGGCATATGATAATTTTTTACTTTAATTTACAATTAATATTGGCTAGGAGCACGAAAATTTGATTTGTATAGTAACTTCCAATCCGTCAAAATTTAACCAACGTAACAAAACAATGATTACTAAATTGTCAGTTGGGGCTGTTTTTAGTGAATAGGGTATGTCTATTATATCATGTATATCAATTTAGAACACATTTATTTTTCAGCCTACATCTCAATCTTTTTTTAAATATTGGATAAACATAAACTAAATATTTATCGAATATGATATAAACAATGCATATATTGGTGATAAAAATATAGATAGAATGTATAAGTTGGATTGTAAATAAGTTTAATTAAAAAAGTTCTTTTAAAAATGACTTTATATTATTTTACTTTTCACACACCCAAATATAGGCGTGGCTACAAGGGGTGTCGCGGTTGCCGTGGAACCCACACTAACTCTCGAGGGTCACAAGAATTGAGATATTCTAGAAACAAATAATGTGAATATTCTTCCCTTGTGAAGAATGAAGGAACTTCCCTTCTGCTAATAGTAATGCTTATACAGTAATCCCTCGCTATCCGCCAAATCGACTTTTGACGAATGCTCCACTCTATACAATCTTCGCGGTAATTCACTGGCATCCGACGAAATAACTCCTTTGCGTCACATTAAGTAGTGGGCATAGTTTTTATACTAAAATATGTCTGAAATGAATAATAAAGATTTTGTTAAAACGAAAAAAAGTGTAATGAGTTTAGATAACAAACAATTTAGTTGTTAGAATGTTTAGCTGTAGAAGAATCATGTAGAAGTACTTGAAATAAGTTTAAAGTTAATAAATCTACTGCAAGGACTTTTCAAGAATGAGAAAACCATTCTTTTTTATGGCATTAGTTCAAGCAACAAAGTAACTTCTTTTCGAGATCTCAAACATTGGAAAAAGCACTGGCCTTTTGGATCGAAGAGCAAACAAAAGAGGATGCCCACGAATAGAATAAAAAAAGGCTCTTCGTCTTTATGACAATTTAAAGTTTGACAACGAATCTTCTAGTTTAAAAGCGAGTGAAGGATTGTTCAAAAGATTTAAAAAAAAAGAGTTTGTTTACATAATGTCAAAACCCCAAGAAGTAAAAAATCGAGACGGAAATCACGTCTCACACTCAACACGATAATATCGTCTGCTCAAAAACTTCAAGATATGGTTTTTCACGTAGATTCTTCTATGGAAACCAGTTTGATTTCAAAAATAGCTTAGAAGGCTTATTGACACCGTACATATAAGCGCAAAAGAAAATTAGGAAGAAAATGAAGCAGCCAGCCAATCTTATCATATTTTAAAAAATGAAGTTTTTAAAGTATTCTGTTCTCATAATATGTACACACAGGTATACTTATTTTATTATTAGTACATATGTACTAATATATCTACTTATCCTAATTGAGATTATATATTTCATCTTTTTCATTGGATTCCTCGCCAACCGTGGTTTCACCAACCTCGCCTTTCTCCTGGGAACGCAATCCTCGCCGTTGAAGAGGGATTACTGTAGTATTAAAATGGAATGGGGAAATCAAATTTATGATTTTATAAAGTAATCTGGAAAATCCTGGCTCGCTGTTTCTTGTCACGTGTACTTCTTGCTACGATATTTAAGCTTATATGGAAATATATTAATATAATAAACTCTAGTTTAACTCTAATTTATAAAATTCTTCTAGTATTAATTTATAAAAGTCATTACTGTAGTTCCTCAAGAAAATAATAGTTTACCCCAGTGATGCCACATGAAGTCGAAGAGAAATCGTAAGATCGGAAAAAATAAATCGTAAGAAATCGTGAGATTTCGCTACAGTTGAATTTTGAAGGAAATGGGAGTTTTTAAATGATATATAATTATACAAAACTATTTTAAATACTTTGTATTGTTATATATTAATTAATGTATAAGTACATACTTAAAAATTAGTGTACTAGAAACGGGCCTACTTTAGGGGAACCACCAGTATCAGATATAATTTTAGGAAATTACCTACCTATAATACCTACCTATATCTATATACTGCAAGCTATAGATTTATCGATTCAATATTAGGCAATGATTATACATTCTTCAATGAAAATTATAAACCTATTTTACCCAAGAATATTAAGTATAATAGGTATATATTCGGTATACATAAACATTTTGTTTTCAAAGGATTTCAAAGTTATTGAAGATGAAATATAAAGTTATTGTCAATTGCTGACTTGTTTCATATCTCCAACACACACTTAAATCGTTTTGGTCTGTTGATCCTTTAATACAAAATTCCGGCTATTCTTGATTTATTGATAAAATATACATAAACTTCAGTTGTTTATGGACCGATATTTACACTTTCAAAGCAATAAAGAACCTTTTAAGCTTTGTTTATATTATTTTGTGTATACTAATTGGAGTAGTGCAAGCATTTTTGTATAAAAATATGGTTGATTTATGAATATTTCAAGGTCACAATCTAAGAGCACTTTAAAAATGCTGATTTTCTCGTATAAATTTTATTAGGTACCCATTATTTATCTTTAGATTTAGTAACAGCCTAAAAATTTTAGAAATCGTAAGATATAAGACGTCAATCGTGAGATCGTGAGATTTGTCTTCAATTCGTGAGATCTCACGATAAATCGTGAGGAGTGGCATCACTGGTTTACCCGTTTTTTTAACATTTAAATTTTAAGTTACCTCCGTCACAGAATAAATAACAAAATTAATTGTTTATTATTCTGTGCTTCCGTGTTAACCACAGCAATATAAAAAATTTATGATTTTTGAGTTTCATGAGATTCTTTGAGGTCATTGAAAGTTGAACTAATTCTATAAACGATTTCAATAGGAATATCGTTAAAAATGGGTTTCAGACAAAAATATTTTATGTAGAAAGAAGTAGAATGTTGGTATGCAAAACTGACAGTTGACGTTTGTCGTGATACTGGCAAGCAAGGTCTAGCCAAAAAAAGTTACTCTTTTGGGTAAGTTTTTGCAAATATTTAGTGATAAGAATGATTTTTTTAATATGTATTCATCTATACAAGCGTTTATACGAAGCATTTTGACCGCGTGCTGTGTATTAAGCCAAAATGCCGGGTGAAAATTTTTACTGGTAAACACATGATGTTCTTAATGTGGTTTCACTTCTATATCCATGGAAGCAAATATACAGAATATTAATTGACTTTGTTTTTTTTTCAGCCTGGACAATTTTTTTAAAAAGATGACGGATTTAGATTCGCCCAAAAAAAATAACGACTGTTATTTTTATTATTATTCGACATGTTCTAAGGTAACATATTTTAACCCTAAAATAGTGTTATTTTTTTAATGTTTATATTAACCATGGTAAAACTTACTACACAAAAACTGCACGTCTTTGATAATATTCAGCTATTTAAAGTATAGCAATTATTAAAGTAGTACTGTAATATCTACAAGAACTAATAAAACAACAATTCACAGTTGAAATATACAATGAATAGACATTAAATTATCTTGATTTCTTCATCTAAATACAACAGACAATGTTATTTAGGTAAAACTATACATTTTAGATTCTTATTACTGTTTTTTTTTCGTTTATGCTTCCATTTAAACTGCCTAACTAAATTAACTTTAGTCACTTAATTATTACTGATAATTACGTTATGTTAACAACATAGTTTCATTAATTATAATATGATATATTATAAATACAACTATAAAACTTGCAATCCAATAACTGTCATTTTTATATATTAGGTTCAGAATCATAACACAAATTAAACTACAGATAAATGTAAATTACCATGTGTAACAGCATTCAAGGTAGATGTAAAGGTTATAGGGTCCTTTGGAATACTTTTACATTTACTCAAGGCTAAATTGACTGCATGCTTTGCATACTGCATACTTAGTTGCATAATAGTAATAGTAGTGTAACATTATTTTCCTTATTGCAATGTATGCACATTTATGAATTAATGAGAGAAGTAAAAAATGTTCATTTATATTTTTTTATTTTTAAATATTACAATTTATATGTTTCCTCACATACTTTGGCAATATGCCTTAATTAAAAACAACAGAGATATTTTTAAAAGCTTTACTAAAAATTACACTATGTTCTTCTTTTTTGTTGACTTTTTTGCTAGTATTACAGCATTAGAAAATTACATATTTCCAACTGTAAACAATTGCATGTGAAATCCATACAGGTTCATACTGAGGTGTATCATATGATTTTTAAAAATATTTACTTCTTGAAATTAAAACTGTAAGAATTTCTTGAAGTTTAATTGTGAGTAAAATTTAATGTTCCATTGAAGAAAAATGTGCTAAAATAAAATATTGATTAACTAAGTTGTATATAACAAAGTATTTTGACTAAAATATCATCATAAGTTTTTCAGAATAAAAGCATACCATTTAAATTATTCAGAGTCTGAGGAGCTACATGTGCTGCTTTCTGCATCTGAATTTAGTCATCCAAAATCACATACTGTAAGTGGTGAAATGTAGTTGAAATTAGAGTATATATCACAAATAGTATACATTGCTAAACACACTATAATCATAAAATATTAAATAAAAACTTAACTGTACCATAATATATCCTCTCTTTATCTGATGTTATGTTAAGGTACTTTAAGATGGTCAGATCAGTTCTCCGTTCAGTTTCAGAACAGTTGTCAGTTCAGTTTGGGTTGTTAAACGTGGTTAGACGATCAGTTTAGTTGTCAGTTATCATTTGTCTTGCACAGTTCAGTGATGGACGAAGATAGCCTAATTGCGGTCGCGTTGTGCTTGGCTCTAAAAAAACAAGAAAAAGGAGAAGTAGATGGAGTAAAAATTGGCTCCTGAAAAGAAATACACTTTCACATTTAAATTTATTAAAGGAACTTCATTTTGAGCTTCTGATTTGTCAAACTATTTAAAAATGAGTGAGGATGCATATCTAGAATTGTTGAAGTTAGTAACACCAATTATAAAAAAGCAAGACACCAACATGAGAGTAATAAATATCATAAATCATAAATTCAGTAATAAAGTCATGGCACCCAGGTACACACTACACCTATTGATAATTTTGTATGACTGAGACCTGATCGGACAAGTTTGTTTATACATCAGTTTAACTGACAACTGATACGATAATTTTTAGTATATGAATCGAGCCACAGCTCAGTTTCAGTTTTTCTTGCAGTTTTTTGTGTTTACACATACAGGTAACTGACAGTTTGACTGAAACTGACACTGGACAGAGAACTGATCTGATCATCTAAAAGTACCTTTATACATTTATATATAAAAATGCATAAGTGTATACTGTATTTTTGGACAGAGAGAATATATTTTTTGGCATAGTATTTTCCATTCAAATTACACTTTTTGAATTTTGGCGCATAAAATTCAGAGCATATTTCTTTAATTTGCCAACAAATGAAATTAGTTTTCGGCCCATCATTTGGCTCTAGTAACTCTCCCAAAACATTATATGGGACTTACCTTACTAGGGGGTATGTACTCTGTTTAAAATCATGTGCCCATCATGAATTCTAGGAGATTTTGAATTCAACCATTGGTGGTGTGCAAGATGTTCTTCCTTGCTAGTCACATTGTAACAATAGAATATTATATTTCTGCTTTATAATAATAAAATAATACATTAGATATAGTTTATAAAATAAGTTTTCATTCACATTAATAATGTGTTTATTGAGTGGATGAGCCGAAGATATACCTAAAGGTATAAAACACTCAAAATAGAAGTGTCATTATGATTAGAAGTGTTTTTTTTCTTGGAATTATATGGCTATAGGCCCTTTAATGCTCATTCACAGATACACTGATTTAAATATAATATTTCATCTGAAATAGGCTTTTTAAATTTATTCCTTGACTGAACATCACCATAATAAAATTGTGTGGTAAAATTTACTGTGGTTGGAACTTGATAATTAAAATATCGTTGGTCATTTATATTAATCAAATATATTTTAGGGAGATAGTTGTATATTTCGCCATGAACCATCTGCCTTAGGTTGCGAAACCATGTGCAGTTTTTGGAAGGAAGGCAAATGTTTTAACATCCAATGTAATTTCCGACATATGGAACTAAGAAAAAACAGAAAAGCTATACCATGTTATTGGGAGAGTCAACCAGGAGGTTGCTTAAAAGGACACTGTTCTTTTTTACATCAGAATCCAAGACCTGTTGATGGTGTTAATAGATCATATTTATCTACAGGTGGGTATTTAAATGAATTTGAAATATTTCAAACTCTCAGTCCCATCAGCTTTATTTTAAAATTGGTGGTGTTTTAAATAAACTTCGACCTGATTCATGTTACAATTAATGCTTCTTATATTTTGCAAAGAAAGGTTAAATCTCATTTTTAGTAAATATATTCATTAGCATTGTCAAAATTGATTATATTTTGAGTCTTTCTTTACTGTTTTATTTTCTTTATTGCTTTTTATTTTTTCCATATTTCTTAAATACCTGTAAAATATTTTCTTAATAAACCTAGTACATATAGTATTTTCAATACCAAAAATTGTTTTAGAGGTCATTGCTATTTTCACTTTTTTCCAATGAACTAAATACTTTTTTTCAAATATTTTGTTTATTGCTATATACTTAAATGCAATATTCTAATACATTTAATTTTTTTTCAGCTGAGTCTGTAGGCAATTTAAATAATAGTGAACGAAACGTAACCGTAGGAGAGGACCTAGTCGTAAATTTTGAAGAAGGTATGCAACTTGTAAAATAATTTTTACCGGCAAGTCTCATAATAAGTTTTCGAAAGAGGAAAAAAGTTTCATTTTATTGTTGCCTTTTACTGTTAAAGATAATTTTTTATTTGTTTTTGAATCTTTAGAGAAGTTAACGGAATAGTTCTTTTGTATAGACTGCTGCAGTTTGAGCTTCCTATAACATTTGAGCTAATGTATCGTTTTTCTATTAATCGAAAAGTTTTTAAAATGTGTAAACAATACTAGTCCATAAATGATGCATGCTGTGTATAGACAAATCAAAGTGTATTTAAAATCAATGTATTTTTGATTAATTACAGTACACATTCTAAATGAAGTTGTGGATTGAAATCTAAAAAATGTTTTCAAAAAAACTCCACTGTAATTGGTAACCAAATTTGGTAGGGATTAAAAAAAACATTAGAAGTTTTCGTTGAAATATAATATCCAATCCTTTAACCTATTATGTAGAGATAATATTGAAAAATGATTATTAGTATGCAGGATCGATTGAGATAGATTTTCAACTACTGAACATAAATATTTTCTTGTTCAGTTATTCACATCAGAATGAAAGAATCCTGTAGTTGTTATGTTCTATTGAAATTGATAGTTTTAACTGTTTTAAGTTTAGTTTTCTGTTTAACTAAGGAATTACTAAGAGAATTGTTGTTTTAATTTCGGGATAGAGAAAACAAAAAATATTTAAAATTAAAATGTGGTATTAATTGTTTTTTAAATTGTTTTCCAGTCAGATGGTATTGCATTGTTTTTATTTATTTAGGCTTTAATTGTTAACAGTTATTTTAATAACACTAATTTTAATTTGTTTACACTAATGGGAAAATCCCATTCATGTATGGGAGCTTACATTGCCCTAATGTAGGGATTCAACGGTTTCTTTAGAAAACTTGTTCCAAACAAGTTTTATATATAACTCTACCTTTCTTTGATATTACAAACTATGTGTCCAGTTTGCAGCACAAAAAAACAGCTTAATTTTTTTTGTTTTGCTTCGTGTTGGAACAATCAACTGATTATTTTGTGTGGTGTTGTCCACTAATAATGTCATATACATACAAAATTTGATGTCCAGTTGAGTTGAATCGTTTCTGAAGTTCAAGTTTTTCTTTGTTTCTATGACACAATCTTATTTTTCATTTTCTATGACACGATCTTCATTCAATTTTGTGCAATCCAATCAGAACATATATTTTTTTAACACCACATGATCATTTAAAATTTGATTTATTTGTTTCATGGCGGTGTAAGAACATGATTGAATTTATATATTATATGTCGATCTACCATTATCATTACACACTAAGGCTACTTCTACCACATTCAAATTATTGATAACAACAAAACACAGTTGTTCTTGATAGTGCCTCATCACCAAATGCCTCTATGTTTTCCTCCTAAAAATCTCTCATTTTATCATTTTTTATTGTAAAATGATACCATAATTACACCTCCAATTATATGATACGTCTTAAATTTTGTGACATTTCATTGACAGTATATATGTCAAACTTTACAAATTTTAGTGTGTCAATTATTTGATACTTACGTTGTTGGTATCCCAAAATTAAACAATCAATCTTGTAATAACTGGTTTAACAGTTTTTATTTTACTTAAAATTATTAAAAGAAATAAATTATCCAGTAATTGTCTTATTGTTTATAATAAACAATGACGTTAGTATTACTAGGAATATTAAAATTATGTTAATAGATAAGAATGATGAGCAAAAAGGAAAATTTAGGAAAACCATTTTTTACTTGAATGCTGGTATGAAAGTTAAAAAAATGTTTTTCTCTGTGCAAAGAGGAATTCATCTAGATCTCATGTTCGCCAAATCTGGGAAATGCCATTGTCTCGATTGTCTTATTTCTGTCATTCCCTTAATTGGTGGTACAACCTTTTTATGTTGACTATTCATCAACATATCCTAAGCATTTCATCAAATATCAAACATTGTAGTTGGAGCTTATAGGATGCAGTCTGGAATTTGTTTTTCCTGACCTTTTGCAACTGCGACAGATATTATTGAAGGAGATATGTGAGCAGACATAGCCTCATCTCAACATTATTCCAATTTAGTGAGCAAAAGAAGGTTATTAAGGTTCCGCTTACTGAAGAAACTCAACCAATGGTCCTAAAGTTCTTCCTGTTTTCTGTACTTTTCGGTCGTCAAAAGTTGTGGAGATAATTTCTTAAAACCAATGATTCACACTAAATTTTGTCAGTCGAAATTAATGTTACCAATTGAAAAGTCTGCTGATATTACTGAAAATAAACAAATTAATTTTAAATAAACAAGAGGAAGGCACATTTATTTTATCAAGTTATTAATTGAACCTAGATTAATAATCGATTTTTAATTTCTAAATTGAGCAGGATGCTGATTGCCTAAATCAATAAACAGCTCATCTTCGGTACATGAAATTTGTAGCTCTGTTTGATCGAGAACAAGTTCTGACAGTCGGATTTGGAATGTGACTGAAAAGAACGAAATATTATGAAAAACTCTTTGTTTTTAAGATTATACAGTGTGGCACAAGAGTTTTCAAATGATAGATGTCGATTAGCTGAATTCTTCGAGTGGTTTTCATAAAAACTGAAGACAATCATATTATTAATGTTAATCTATACTTTTTTACACAGTAGCCATGGAATATTGAACATCCAGCATTTTGAAACGGCACGTCAAGATGGAAAAAAATATAGGAACATACTGAGTGACATAACATCCCTAAAATAATGTATTACTTGTCATATGACATCAAAAACAATGTTAAATTACTCAAAAATTCATTAATTTAAGTATATTCAGAAGGGAGGGACATTGGAACTACCACGTTGTAAAAATTTACAATTATCCTCATTTTTGTATGTATCTTCATGTTTTTACAGATTAGGTTGCCAAATAATTAATAAAAGAAATGTTTTTGAAATATATAAATTTATATTTTGAACGAAAACTATCTTTTTGTAGCTTCTGGTTTAGGAAAAAAGTTTGAAAAAGGTTTGTGTACTGTAATTAATCGATCTTTGTCTTGTAGTAAGTATTCGCTGGTCTGGTATTTCTATACTTAATAATATACTTAATATTGTTAATATTTAATGGTTTTTAAGACTTTGTGTATGACTCAAAAATATATTCGGGTAAGTCTCTCACAGATTCTCTCTTTTTATTTATTTATTTTTTTGTAGGAAATTTATGTACTAGTGTTAATAATTATTTATTGGTTTCACTTGAAATCCGACTGTTATGACATTGTTTATTTTTATAAGCATTGTGGTACTCACAAAATTTGTATGTTAAAAGGTGCATTCTTGTAAAGTATAGAATTTTTTGTTTACCCCGGGGTTATTATATATTTTTTAGATCCAATTGTTAATTGTACACAAGGCAAAAAATTTCCTTTTTTGTGCAATTTGCATTGGTACAAAACTTAGGAATTTCAACTAGTTCTTTGGTTATAAATGAATCAATATAGGATGAAATCGCGATAACAAAGTATATAATTACAATAAAAATTTTAAGTGCAATATACTGCCCTTGTTTTACAATATTCGCTTACATTATAGACATTACTAAATACTCTTATCAAACTGTAATGTGTTTGGTGTGCAGGAGCATGTGGCATTCTTCTTTATAGTTCTCCAGCATTCTCTAGTCAAGATCACTCTTCCATGTCCTTATTCTTAGTACCTGTAGATCCGCAGAGCAAAATAGTGCTTCACCTTAAAGATTATTAGTTTTGGTGCCATTGATGGTGATTCCTCCTTCTATCGCACGCAGTCAAACGCTTTGGTGTAGTCAATATAGCATAAATAGATTGATATGATCCTCGGCATCGACAACGACATTTTCCGTCGGTCCCGAATATGCAAATGGCCTTTAACGCATGTTAGGGTAGCTTGTGCGACTGAAAACCCTAACACCAGACCTTAGCCAGAATATCACACAAATACAAAAAGATACTTTTGTTCATGTGGTGTAGGGTAATTAATAATCTGCAGATATCTCTTCTTTTGGATCTACAACATTAGCAGTGGTTTCAATTGGAGACAGAGAACTCATGAAACTTCTGCGAGATTTAAAACTTGACGGATACCTTGACTGATTAAACATGTGAGGTCGTGGGTTAGCTATCTTGTTATTTTTATTTAATTTCAAAAATCCCTCAGAAAGCAATTCCTGTTCTAAGGAATAATATTCGACAAGTCTCATTTCTAGCATGATCCAATGTGGCTAGTGTGAGCAGAGCGAGTTCAAACTGCAGCTGAGTATTAGGATGAGTAGAAAGGTTCTTAATGTACTATTTGTGTCCTGCAACTTGTTCCAGTTAGCATACGAATTTTGCAATTTCTTAAGGAAATATTTCCTTTTGTGTCTTCGCATTGGCTTTGAAAAAGAGTTGTGACCAGTTTCTTAAGTCTCCGTTAACTGCCAATATTTCTTCAATGTTTTACGTCGCTTCTAAGGGTGGTTTCAAGGGAAATAGTTGATTATTCATTGTACTCTTTTTTTCTCTGGTGAGTAATTTGATGATGAGGCGGAGCACTTCGTTTCCAGGAATTGCTTGATTGTTTTAAAATAACTGAAAAGAAAAGATATTTTTATTTATTATTCAAACTAAGAAGCTATTTTTATTACTATTGTTCTTCCTTTTTTACCAAGGCACTAGCAATTCTGCTTGTTCATTGGTTGATTGATACTTCTAGGAAGGAATGTTGTCACTCCATCTTTCACACTGTCGTTCCATACATCTTCTACCGATTGGTAATTTATCTGTTGCTACTTTGACCACGCGAGTCCCCCACATTCTGCTTATGTGGTTATTCCATTCTTTTTTCTAATTATGGTCTATTCGTTTATACACTGTACGTTACACTTTCTTCTAATGGTCTACAGACTTTAAGCCCATACAGCTTATAGAAACAGGAGTATGCCTTTATTATCATTGTAAGAGTCAAAGCTATCAGATAAATGCTATTTAATTATATGCATTGTAATATTGACATACTTCTCTTATATCTATTACCAGTTACATTATATATATTTAAATTTTTTGTTTCAGTATTTGCCATGCCTAAACTTTCAGAAATTGACTTGTTGATATGTTTATTGATTACTTTATATTATATCCTAAGCATTACAGCCCTTTTACACAATAAAAATTATATTTTTATAAAATTTTCGTTGTAGAACGATCATCCTTTCATCATTAACATTTTGAATCTCTGACCTAGTTCCAAATATGTCTACCTTGCAGCTACATTTTTGCCTTGTGTATAACGTTTTTAGATGTTGTATAAGAATGGGATTGTTATATTCAGTTTAAGACGTTTTGTGTTAATTGTTGAGACAAATATATTTATTTTCAATAACAAGCAGAATTTAAAGTTTTATTTGGTACTGTTGATACTTAAATTTATTTTGTATTTACTAAATAAACTTTATTTTGTACCAAATTTGTTTTATTATTGTCAAGAGTCTGCAAGAATGCACAGTCTGCAAGTTGTGTGAAAGATTTGTCCTTGTCTGAAATGGTGTGTTCTTGCAGAGTCGGATAATGAGTCTATGCCCACATACTCGCCCGCAAAACACAAGGAACGCATTTGTACAGTCAAATCTTTGGAAGAGATCAGGTTAGAGAAGATACAAGCAGAATCGGCTGCTTACTATTCATATTCAGGTATGTTAAAAATATTTTTTTCTTTTTTTTTTTATTGATTATTTAGAAATAAAATAATTTTAAGCATTGCTGATCCTTCAATTACTTGGGTGTAACATTAACCTCTGACAGAAAGAGCCAGCAAGACATAAAAGTAAAGTTGAACAAGGAGGATGTGCTGGGTGGAACAATCTTTTTTTTTATTGGGCAATCTATATATTTTTACATTTTTGGACCCTTTCTTGATTTTCTAGTTTTTGCAATGTTATATGGGACAGTTTAAAAGATAATTACGTTTTTTTATTTATTTTGGTAGAAAATATTAACCCCCTTTAGAATTGTATCAAAAACTATTAAGTTTAAACGATCTACTATTGTCCAAAATTATTAACAGCAAAATATTTAATTTAGTATGCTAGATTGATCTAAATTTGGTAAAAACATTTTTCTACGGCATTTATAACTTGGGTAGGTAATACAAAAATATTGACTTGCGACCTAATGTCGTACAAATACATTGGTACCAGTAGCAGGGACAACCTTTGATTTTCGTAAAATGTTGGCCCCATTTTCGGTAATGTCATACAGTACGGCATTCATACAAATACATAGTTTCTGAGTGAGAAATCGAGGGCGCAACCCTTGATTTTTAAGAAGTTTAAATGACGTTATTTGAGCCAATATGAAAACTCACCGATTTAAATTAAGTTGTATAAAATAATAACATGTTTGGATATGCCGTACATTTTTCATGGTAGGGGAGACCGGGGTTTGTTGACTTATTTTTTCAATAATTAATTTTTACTGATTTATTTTTTGAATATTATTAAATTCAAGTATGTCAGCTGGTTCTATACTCCTTCAGGTAAATTGTACATACATTTTCAATTTATTCGAGTTCTCCGTAGAAAAAAGTTTCAAGCAAATTTTGGCTGGCTTGCCAAATAAGTTTAGCAGCCCCGGGTACGGGTTTAGTTGATTAAACGGTGTGGGGTTAGTTGACTCAATTATTTTCTTAGTGATATCATAAGGGTAATAATAGTGACACACTCCAAAAACAGATGAAGATTCATTTTTTTGTTAATGACAAGTGACAGTTTTGAAACTGAGTGCTTAGTTCTTCGCAAACCAAGTACTCAGCTTCACCCTAATAAGATTCCGAGGATCTAGGGTTATGATCATCGAGCAATAAGACAAAAGAGGGAATCTAATCCTTATGAAAAGGAGACCAAAAAGTGGCCTCTGATGGCGGACATATCCGGAAATGCAAAGGGCGCTAAATTTAAATTTTCTGACACTTATTAAGAATAGCTATAAAAATATTTTTCAGACGAGAAAGTTTTAATTAAATATTAACGATAATAGTCTAAAATATGACACAATTGGTTAAAAAACTTCAATATAAATTAAATTTCATGTGACAGTTGGGAAAAACAATAACATAACCCAACTAAATTTTGATGTCAAACAAGGAGAGAGACTCTCTTTCCTTGTTTAATGTGGCCTCTAAAGATCGCACTTCCTGTCTAACAAAATGTGTTGCCCCCACTACCTTTACATTCCCTCTTTTTATCTTTTTGGCTCGATGGTCATGATACAGACGTTTTTCGTGTTTTTGATGTATTTCTTTTAGTTGCATGTTTCTCTTTTATGTAAACCTTTCTTTTCTTCCGTATTCTACCTTTCGTGAGAGCGTCTTTTATCGAAGTATCAGTTACAATAGCAGTTTGGTCTCTTCTTCTGTGATTTTCTCGAATTTTGTCGAAAACCCGGTTCTGGAAAACAAACAAATATTTTATTTATTTATAAAAAAGTATTTTAGTACGTTAAAAAACCGATAAAAACCGATTGAATTTGAAAGTTAATTTCAAAATAGAGATGAAAATCGGTCGATTTCTATTACTTTTTATCGATTTTTTTAAAGGTATTAAGATATGTATAACAGTATTAAAAAGCACACGAAACAACACTTCTCAATACGTAAACCAACTTCAGTTTTATAGGTTGACAGATAAACTATTTAAAATGGCGGATTCTCACAGAAATTTGGATTGCTAGAGTCCTTCGTTTCACTTCTTTGTTGGGTGATGGATTCTGTGGTATGAGGTATGTGGTATGTTCCCCTTTAGAGAAATCAGAAGAGTGCCGAGCAAAATTTGTGGACAGAAATTGTTTAAACAAGTTCCAAAAATAATCAGCTTTTCCACCGTGAAACATTTTTTAGATTTCTTGGGGTCATTTGAAACGCAAACAGTCTCTTGTCATTTTTCTCTAAAGTTGATCGTTTTCAAGTTATAAACAATTTAAAATTTCAAAAAAGCGAAATTACGGACTTTCCAAGCTGGAAAAAAAAATATGAAAATTTTTATTTTTCTTAAGATCTTAAGATAATAATAATAAGTTTTGTGGTGACGAAAAGGGTCGATAATAAATTAATAATAACATGGAATAATGATAAGATAATAATAAATTGATTTAAAATGATATGAATAAAAAATATATAATAGACAACTAATGCTGGATTTTCACAGTTCCGATATCCGATGACACGAAATACGAAATTTTTTTTGTACGAATATATTTGATTGTCGTATCCGAAATTTTTTGACATATATGTGTTATGTGTCAGATTATTAAATTGGATTGATATTTATTTCAATGAACATAAATGATAGCTGTTTTTTTGATATATATATATTATTATATTGAGCTTATGTTCTCGTAATTTTTGCCTCACATAGTGTAGAAGGCCCAAAAGCAACACTTTATTCATTGCATTTATATAATTAGGTCTTTGTTCCATTTTAAATATATTTCAAATAGTAAGACATAAACACTCCACACAAAAAAGGTTAAGGTTCAAGTTAGAAATGTCAAACAATGTCAAAATTCATCCGATTTTCGTGCAAAAGTTAAAATATTTTAAACTTCTTCCGATGACTTTTAATTTCGTACGAAAATTTTACCTGTCATTTTTTCAACCAATGAAATTCGCTGAAATTTATATCGTATCATCGTACCATCGGATATCGGACCTGTGAAAATCCACCCTAAGGCTAATGGTTCGTTTTTATCGTATTCTTACGAGTAAAGGTCAATTCAGACACATCAGTCCCGTCATAGTCTCGGCGCCGAACCGGTCCTGTTTGGTCACAGAACTATCAACTATCTGACAGCTGGGAAACTGTTTGTCAACTGATGAGTGTGATGCGGCAACATATTTGTATTAAAGAATATTTTGTATGACGGATTGTTCGGTTCGGCGCAATCACTGTGACGAGACGTGACTGATGTGTCTGAATTGACCTTAAAGGTCGATTCAGACACATCAGTCACGTCTCGTCACATCTCGTCACAGTGATTGCGCCGAATCGAACAATCCGTCATACAAAATATTCTTTAATACAAATATGGCGCCGGCATTCACACTCATCAGTTGACGAACAGTTTGCCAGCTGTCAAATAGTTGATAGTTCTGTAACCAAACAGGACCGGTTCGGTACCGTGACTGTGACGTGACTGATGTGTCTGAATTGACCTTAAAGGTCGATTCAGACACATCAGTCACGTCTCGTCACAGTGATTGCGCCGAACGAACAATCCGTCATACAAAATATTCTTTAATACAAATATGTTGCCGGCATTCACACTCATCAGTTGACAAACAGTTTACCCAGCTGTCAGATAGTTGATAGTTCTGTGACCAAACAGGACCGGTTCGTCGCCGAGCCTATGACGGGACTGAGGTGTCTGAATCGACCTTAATCAAGAAACCGTTCAACTTTTCATGTCATTTTATTGTAAAATGATGAAAAAAATATTATAAGGCTCAAAAGAAAATTTTTAATTATTTTTGTTAACAACTTTTTATTTTCCATTTTACACTAAAAAGTATTAGGAATAAAGTTGCAGACAATTTACTTTGCTACAAAAAATGTACAAAATTGAGCAGTGTATTTTGAAGGATAAATACTTATTATTTACATACTTTCACTGTCACTGCCAAATCTTAAAATTTGTCAAATAACTTATTCTGTTCAACCACAAAAACTGGAACATGTTAGCAAAGAACTAAAAGCAAGAATTATAACAAAATTATAAGATGAATGGATTATAAGATGGACAACAACTTGTCGCAGAATTAAAGCATCGCGTCTTAGGTACCGAACTGCAGCAAAAAAGCTACAAAATCAAGATTTTGGACAGGTAGTATATTTACATGAGAAAATTTTTGAATCTTCTAAAATGGGCACAATTGGGGTGTATAGACCAGATAATAATAGATTTAATCCTCTATATGTTGATAGATATTAAACAGCTGATCATTTTAGCGCCAATATATGGGGATGGATTTCATTTAGAGAAAATGGAATGGTAATGGTATATTGATGGCAGGTTTGTGTTCTATTAAAAAAAAGATAAGTTTGTTCCACCCTGTCAATATTGATAGCCTCGAATATTTTGAAAAATATTTTTAAATTATGCTTCTATGTTCCAACTTTTGCCTACTGTATAATGTATGTGTGAATTACTATTGATATAATATAATGAGTATAAGAGATATAAGAGTAATTTTTTAGGTTCGACTAATGGATTAAGTCCACAGTAAAAAAAAAGAAAACTTTATATCCTAAATAATCTTTTTGACCTCAATCTTTAATTAATTTTCTGGTCTCTTACGATAAATAACAATCAACTAATGCCGCACCCTGCATATTGGTGGCTGTGATGACATGTATATCTGAAACGAAATTAAAATTATTTGTGTTTCAGATGATTCTTTCCAATATGACGGTCAAGCTAATATGATCAGAGAAAGGATATTTTCGAGAATGCAAAATAAACTACCAACAGAAAGGACAGTTCTACACAAAAGGCAAAGTGACAGCCAATTTGTCTCTACACTACGTAAGTATAAAATATATATTTTACGATTGTGAAAATTAACTTGGAAAAATTGTAAATATGTTCCGATAACGTCACCATCATCACGATCTTTTCACTTCTAGCGGATTGGTGCTCTTCTTAGTCTTTTTCTTTCTTGATTGCTCTACATCTTTTCTCTATACTTTCGTTTCTATATTTCTTCGTGTAATTTTTGGTTTTAAGTTTGTTAATGCCTTCATTTTTTTATTCTTCTATCTTATTGTGTCTTGGTCTGCTTACCGTAGATCCCCATACTTATTATTTTTACTAGGAATACGTTTCGATTTCTACTTTGGAAAGAAGAACGATTTTCGAAGACGAAATCGAAATGTCAAAATAAACTTATTTTAAAGTAAAATTGTGGCTTATTCTCAGTAAAAAATAGTAAATTATTATAGATTTTTTGTTAAACACATGCACGGTTTTTAAAAAACTCGTACACGAGCATATAATTTCTATTACTTGTGGTATGACACTTCCCATGGAACTTCCAGATTTATGGTCCAGTATTATGTGTCTTGTCACTATTCTTGTCACTAAACGATGGAGGAGCTCAATAATCAACGTGAAGACAAAACCGATAACAAAATGTTACAAGCAGAATTTCGTATTAAGTACAATCACAAATAAAAGACAAAAATTGATTCCAAAACACCCGGAAAAGTTTAGAGAAGCATGAGCAGAAGCTGACCTACCAGTGACTAGCGGAGACCCTGACAAAACGTGGGAATATACAAAGAAATGAATCACTGAAGTACTCAAACAATACTAATCCCAAAGACAAAACAGCTAGGAAAAAACATGGGATGACTGAAGAGACTCTCAATCTTGTAGGAGAAAAACGAAAACTTAGAAATGGCACATCAAATTCAAAACAAAGGAAATAGACGATACGCACCATAAATACAAACTATAAAACACTTGTGCAGAACGGGACAAAAATAATTATAATTAAAAACATATGTGTACATACTAGAAGGAACATGCTGACGCCGAAAGAATCTAAGAGAAACTTTTCTCAAAAGTCGAGTTTCTAGCGAGAGAATTCTAACCGCAAACACAGATCATCAAAGATAATAGTGAAAGTACCATAACAAACCCAGACGGTACCGCGAGTAGGTGTGGAAACAATATTGCGAAATACTATTATATAACAACAACCCACACAATAATACAGAGAAAATAAGTTATGAAAAGAACCTCAAATATTGAAATCAGAAATTAAAGGCGGCAATTAAGCTAAAATCCAGAAAACCAGAAGGAGAAGATGGGAATAACAGCTGAAACAGTCAAAGAAATGGGATGAATTAGGGACGGAAGTAATGCTTAGAATTTGCAATATGATCTGGAATACCGGATAGTGGCCAAATGAACTGGGGTAAACTCACGTTTATTCCCATATATAAAAAAGGTTCACCGACAGATTGCAATAATTACCGTAGCAGTAGCATTGATATCACACGTGAGCAAAGTACTTCTAAACCATTATCAATGAAAGACTAAAAATCAATTCTCTTACCACAAATTCCCCAAGAACAATGCGGATTCGTCCCAGGTAGAGGAACAAGAAGAACATATTAATATTCGTACAAACTATCGAAACAATCTCCAGAGTTTTTAACATAGAAACATATTTATGATTTTTTAACTATTGCAAAGCTTTCGTTACCGTAAAATAGGGATAAAATGTGGACATTGCTTAGAGAAATGGGTACTCCAGAAACATCAAATCTATTTATTAAAAAAACTACACGTAAATAATACGGCTAACGTAAGAGTTGAATATTGCGATTTCGAAAAAACTTAAAAATTAAAAATCTGGAGTTCGACAGGGATCCTATTCTCTTCAATATATATCAGAAGAAAGAAAAAATCAAAAACCTACGCTATGCTGATGACACTGTTATATTGGCGTCATCACCAGAAGAACTGGAACAAATTATAAATAGGCTAGGCACGGTAGAGACCGGAATATGGGTTTGAAAATAAATATCCAGAAAACCAAAGAGATGATCATCAGTAGAATCAGAAACAACCAGGCAAAGATTAGAATCATGACAGGTTACGAAGTGGTCAGGCAATTTAATTACTTAAGCCCCTTTATTACTAACAGTGGAGGATGCGAAGACGAGATCCGTCGACGCAATCACAATAGCCAGATCGGCAACAGCAAACCCACAAAAATTTGGGAAGAACATTGACATCACAAAAAAACAAAAAATTACACCTGTTTCGAGCATTGATATTTCCTATCGCCACCTATGCTTCAGAAAACTTGGACAATAAAAGAAACCGATTCAAAGCGTATAACGGCATTCGAAATGTGGGTCTACTGTAGAATGTTGCGCATACCATGGACCGCCTATCGCACAAATAACTCAATTCTAGCAGAACTTAACATAAAAACTGGACTCATCACAACTATCAACCAAAATATACTGAGATATTTTTGGACATATAACTAGAAGACAGAGAAGACATGGAGTGAATGATAGTTGAAGGTAACCTAGCAGGTAAAAGATCCAGAGGAAGATCTCCAGTACGATGGTCTGACCAAATCAAGGATATGACTGGTTATTCATTCTCCGAAACAAAACAACACGCACAGGGGAGAGAGAGATAATTGGACAGAAATAGTTAAACAAATTACATGACGACACTACATCTTTACGAAGAAGAAAATATTGAGGAGGATTATATGTCTATTATAAATATTTTGATAGGCCCCAGACAAAAAACTACCAACCCTTGTGTATTTCTTTTGAGAGATTTCTTATATTTTTTGTCCATTTATTTCCTATAGGGATAGCATTGCGTATTTGCTTGACTAAGAAAATCTATATCTATTTTAAACTTGAAAATTCACTGAATGGTGAAAGTCATTCAGCCACCAAAAAAAATTATAAATTGTAATGCAATTATTATAGGTAATTGTTACTTCCATCAAATAGTTAAGACCTATTTAAGATTTATTTGTCCATAATTATTGGTACACTGCTAACTATTTTTCTTTTTTAGAGAAGAAACGAAGACTCGTTTTTCACAATGAAGATGGAAATCTTGAGATTAGAATAAATAAAGGAAGAGATAGGCTTATGCCGAAAGCAAATTCGGGACTTAAATTGGAAAGAACAATTGAAAATAATGTATATCGACGAGAAAACCGTGCAAGATCTCTTCCTCTTAACGAAACAAACGTAAGTGATATAAAAATAAAAACTTTGGATGAAATACGAAGAGAACGAAAGACTAAAGAAGAAACAGTTATAACGACAAATGATGAACAAGAAGTAACTAGTACATGTATGGATGTTGATTGTAAAAGTTTAGAGAAAACGTCTCTCCCGGAGAGTACTGATAAGAAGATTGTTCTTAAGAGATTTCCAGTGATAGATACACCTCATGATGTAGTTTTAAGTGATAGTAATAAGTCTACAACGAATCATTTTGTTCCTAGTAATGTAAGTAGATTAAGTGAATCGCAAGTTACCCAAGATAAAGATGAAACGGAAAGTGCAAGTAGCAAACTGGAGGAAACACTTTTACTAGAAGAGGATGATCTTGACGTTGATACAGTCATGTTAAAACCAGAAGAAGAATTACTCAATGAAGTAGATGAAGATTGGGAAGATTAACTCGCGTTGTTAAAGTATCTAAACGTTGTTAAATTTATGTTAAGCCAAGAATAAAATTGTTTCTTTTTGTATGTTTGTTATATTAATTTAAAGAAAATATTAACAATCACCCTGTAGAGCAGTTTAATGTGTACTTTCTTCATCGTACGGTATAACAAAGACAGATAAAAATTAAATATAATAAATAATTAAGGTAGAAAAAATCAGCCACATATCAGTAACTTAAATACATCAAAGCGATGTCCAGCTTTTACTAGATGTAAACTTTTACACATAAATGGCGCAAAAGGATAATAAATACAGTGTTTACGTTCATGGCCATTAAAATTAGATGGCACCTTTGTACTCTACCACTTCAATGAGGAAACAGGAGACGTTTGTTTTGGTCTTTTGTGTTTGATTTTGTATACAGCTCCTCGTCTAATGAGGGAATGGGTGGCCGAAATGACGTCATAACGCGTTGTTTTTGTTTAGAAATTCATACACAGATACTGATTTTTTTTTTATTATTTATTATGAATGCCACGAGAAATTCTTTCCTCAGAAAATTTCACATTTTCATCTCCTTTCTAATTATTACTCAAGTAATTTTCAATAATTTTTTTACTTCGGAAATATTTAAATGTACTGACAAAAATTAATCGATGATTACATAATATTGTTTTGTCTATAAAAATTAAATTTGCCAGGAAGTGAATAAAGCTGGAATTGTTTTTAGATAAGCCCCTCGTGACATGCTAGAACATAGAATGTAAAAACCATATAATCCGCCAGTAAACATTTTGGGCCTTGTTTGACTTTCAAACACAAAATGGTATAATTGTATTGTTAAGACATTGTGACGCCACAGTCACAGTATCATTGAAGGTCAACGAGGCCAAATGTATTGTTGGGGGGGGGGGCGTTTTGCTAAACAAAACCATGTGATTCGTGGTTTTCCAAAACCGTTTTCAATGTTTTGCAGATTTTTCTTTAATTTGGCAAACGCGCATCTGTCGCCATTTAATACATTGCCGCTGTCTTCTATTAAATAACATGTCAACTTTATTAGGTGACGGCCGAACTAATTTCTCACTACCAAAATGACAACTTCGGTTACTTTAATATCAACAAAATTTCCAGTTTGCAGATTTTTAATTGTAATTTTATCTTCTGGTACAGTTAACTTAAAATTACGGCTGTATGGATAATGGACGTTTGCTTAAAATAAGGCTTTTTGGATACGTAAGCTAAAAAATTATAACACAATACCAAAATTTAGGCAGGTTGCCAAGTAAGTTATGATATGGATTCATTTAAGTTTAGCTATGAAAAATTTACTGCTTTCTTTGGAAATTTTAATTAGACATAATTAAAATAAAACGTTTACAGTTCACGTACTAATTATAAGTTGACGATTTGTTTTGAAATAGTGACTACCTAAAATATAAAAATGAATACCTAAAAGTACACAAATTTAAGGTACTTATTAAGTGGAACACCATCTGGTCCAGGACTGTTGTAAATAAATATTTTTGAGATTTGAATATGATAAGAAGAGACAGAAACACTAAAGACAACCCTGGTTATCGTAGTAGTGCAAGGCCCAATAATACGCACATTCGCTGCGTATGACGCCCTCTGGCGTCATTTCGATTCCCACTACTTGCGTATGACGCCATTTAGAGCGTAGGCGCAACATTTCGGGCTAATGCTTTTTAATTTTTTCGAATCCTGAGAAAACTAATTAGTATTTTGAAAAATTTAAACGCAGAATAAAAGAATACATTATTACTGAGGGCCGAAAGTCCCTGAAAACTTCTATAATGTTTATTTTAATAAGTTATAGGGCGAAAAACAAGAGAAAAATTTAGTGTGATTTTCATTTTAAATATCTCAAAAAAAAACTATTTGTTTATTCTTTCGGTCCTCAGTAATAATGTAATCTTTCATTCTGCGTTTAAAATTTTTCAAAATTATTTGTTAGTTTTCTCAGGATTCGAAAAAAATGAATGCATTTAAAAAGCATTGGCCCGTAATTTTGCGCTACGCTCTTAAAGTCTATTCTATCTCATGCAATGGCTCAGTTCATAATACGCGCTGTACTAGTGTGCATGTCGAGTTGTACGCACATAGATAGAACATTACTACACGTGTTTCGCTAGCCGTTTGTATTTTTAAGGTTATGTAATTTTTTTATACCTGATACGATATGAGTGATCTAAATGATACTCTACCAGGTCCATTGGGAGTGAAAAGACGTAAAATTGCAGTTATAAATCTTCGTAGGACTGACAGAAAATGAAATGTTTCAATTTCTCATAGATTCTGATGAGTCATCGGACGATGAAGACAAACTATTCGAGCCAGATTCGGCTTCAGAAAGCGAGAACGATGAAGGTAGTAGTAAGTTTGTATTATTGCAACTGCACCTACATAATTAGTTCATTGTGTAGTAAACGTCAGTTTATTTGCTGAATATTCACTTTTATTTTAGATTTAGACTTTTAGACAAAAAAAATTACAATTAGCCCAGGTAAATAACATTTTTCAAAATGCACAGCGAATGTGTGCGAACTTCAAAATAATGCGTCGTGAGCTGATCGACAGATCAATTCGTAGTCCTACTTAATTTCAAATTACTATTTTTAAGTTTAGAGACTTCTTTCTGGAGTTAGTAGTTATACTTTCAGGAAAATACAAAATAAAAAAAGTAAATTTTAATATGATACATATATTTATTACTGTATAACAAGAAAAACAATGTAGGACATGCCAGTTGTATACATAATTTCAGTAAATAATATAAAAAATATTTCTCTACCATAGTTTTACAACAAATAAACTTTATAAACAATATCCGTTTTTTTTGTCAAAAAAGTATTGATCTTTGTGATGATAATTTTGTACTCTTTTAAATATTTTAACATTCTGAAATATCACCTGACTATATTGCTTAAAATATACGATAAAATGGCACTCTTAATTTAGTAAATATAATTTCAGAAATCTGAAATATAAAAAATGTCTATTTGGGTTTCATTTCTGTAATTATCCAAAGTATTCTTCAAACAATTCTTAAGAAAATACTTCCAAGTATCAAGAAAAATAGTTTCTATTTTTTTTTCTAATAGTCTTTCGAAATCTAAAACAATATTTCGCAAATGTCTATAGATTTTATAATCTATCCAATATATTTCGTAGAGTATCCATTGTGCTCAAACAGAAACTTTTTTAGAAGATATTTACATATATTATAAATATGCCATAAATACTGTTACACGCCTGAGACAATGGAATAAGAAAAACAATGTTAACGGTTTTAAATTTTTCGATACAGTAAATAGAGATTCGTGGGTGAGATTAAACTTGCATTTCGAAAATATATCCTACAGATGACAGATGTAGTTTATCTCCACTTCATCCAACTTTGTTCATTGATTGTTTTTTTGCAACTTTCTGAAATAGCAAATTTTACAAGATAGAAAACCTTGACATTTAATTATTATGGTTTTGAAATAACTTTATTCGTAATACTGTAATTGTATCTAAACGTATAGTCAATGCTGGCGGTCTCTTATGTTAAGATAAAAACAAAAATGGAAACCCAAATAGACTTTTGTTGCTAAATACACATTTTAAAGAATACTTTCTCCCTAATATTCATACTAAGCGTACAACTTTACAAAAGTTGCATGAGTACAACAATAAAAAAAATCAAATTTAATTATCTTTTAAAGCTAATTCCCTAGGAACAGACGGGTCGGGCAGTTTCTCATAGTTGGGTTTAACTCCCCAGATATCTTCACCGTATTCGATGATTGTGCGATCACTCGAGAATTTTCCGGAGCTAGCGATGTTGTTTATTGCCATTTCCAACCATTTAGCTTGATTCTGAAAATAAAAACAGTTGATTATTTGTTGAAAATATTGTGTTTGATGAGATCTATTCAAAAACTGTGTTTACTGTTAGCTAACACCACAAGATATAAAACAATCAGAAGATAAACATAATTTAAATTACGTGCACCTGTCTCGCGCAGACAGTCAAGATATAGTTTGATATAAAACAGTGACACATCAGTAGAATAGAGAGTTTAATTTAAATTATATGTTATAAATATGTTTATCGTGTTTCCTTTTTCCAAAAGATCAAATATAGGGCTACGAACGGAGCGGTGGATTGGCGCACAGGTATGAAAAATAAATAAAAGCAATTGAAACGACAAAACGATCGCTAGACTATACACTACATAAAGTAGTAAATGCAGTCTCAAGCGTGTTTCTTAATAAAATAAAGTAATTAAACCTCCTTTTCTCCCAAAGGGATCTTTAAAAAATATGAACTATGTTTTTGTTGGATTAAGCAGATCTTTTATTTTAATTCCACTCCTCAATATACTTTGTAACGATATACATCGCCTCTGTGACTCAGTACTGACTCGTCACCTTCCGTTCCTCACCAGGCCGAGTGTTGATTGGCCCGTTTCATCTCTATTTGTTCGTCCGTTCTGTGTATTAACACACCGTAATTGCCGTTTATATTTTAAGCCATTAATTGTATTTTATTTTTCGTAGATATTAAACAATGGTTCATATCGCCGTTGATGATGTCGTCGCCAAGATTGACAGTTTAATTTTTATTTTATTTATTACCTAGTATCTAATTTCATTTTGTTATTATTAAGCCTGTGTTTTACTGAGTCTGTTGTCTAAAAGAGCTGCCCGTCATAAATTGGCGCCCGAGTAGAAGTAAAGCTTTACAAATTGGCGCCCGAGCAAAAATAGATACGCCGCTCCGTCCAGCAACGATAGATATAGACTCAGTAACAGGTGCCACGATAGGTAAGTCGTGGATATACCGCCTGTCCAAAGAGGAATTACGGCACAATTACAGAATAAGACCCGAATAGGAACCGAATCCGAAGAAGAACCGAACCTAGTAAATGCCTTTAGTGTAAACCGTCGCAGATGCAACCAGCAGGAAGATGTGATTATCCACTGTAGAAAAGCCTTTTCACAATGTTCCAATTGATTTGGTGGGACCACACCCAAGATCTACAGACGGGAGCATTTCTTGGTAGTCATCAAG